CCATGGAGGACTTGACCTTCATCCACACCCAGAGCAGCAAGAAGGTGGGGGGGGGTGGGGGGGTGGGGTGAGGATATCTGGGGTGGCAACGTTGGGGTCCTGGAGGAGATGGGAAGGAGAACCTGTGGCCCCATGCTCAGTCTTGGCCTTGGGAGGAGAATCGTGGGTGGTGGGACCCCATGGGTGGTGGGACCCCATGGGTGGTGGGACCTCATGGTTGACATGTCCCCATGACTGATGGGTCCCCAGAGCTGATGGGTCTTCATGGCCTGGTGTCTTCTCTAGAGCCAAGCTGGCCTTGGGAGATCTATGGCCTGTTAGGTCCCCCATGGGTGACAGGACCCCATGGGTGACATGACCCCAAGTGTCCCTGTGGCCTAAGGTGTTGACCTATGACCAAGATTTGCCCAGGGAGAAGATCCATGGGCTGGTGGGTGCCGTGTGTGTGTCCCCCCCAGCGTTGTCCCCTGGGGCCACCCCTGACCTGTCCCCACCCCCCAGGTGGACGGCAGCCACAGCAGCCTGGCCTCCCCCTCCCCCTCCATCCCACCCCCCCTCTTCCCTCTCTCACCCGTCCCTGCCACCTCATCCCATCCCACCCCATCCCAATACCCCCGGGGGGGTGACAAGGCCACCACAGTTAGGAAAATCCCCCGTATCTCCTCCCACCTCGGGTGGGCTGGCACACCTGAACCAACCTGGGGTGACCCCACCCCACCTCCTGGCCGGATGATTGGCAGCTCCTGGGCCACGATGGACAGCTTGTCCTGCCCTCTCCTGCAGGACAACCTGAAGGCCACAGCCAAAAACCCCCTCTTCCTTTTGTTTAACCACCAGGGCCTTGTTGCCTCTCTCCAGGTAAGGATCCAAGAAGCACCCACCTCCTCCAACCAAAACCTTGTTCCTTCTGCCTCACCTTCTCCCAGCCCCACCCAACCCCTCACATCGTAGCGGTCAGAAGGTGCAAAGGTGTTTTTTTTATCGTTGGAGGAACCAAGGAGGATTCTTCAGGGGCTTTCAGGAGGGTTGTGTGGTGGGGACACGTGGAGGACTCTGCTGGTCCTCCCCACCACCTGCTTGTCCGCAGGTTGCTGAGATCTCACCAGCTTTGTGTCCCACCAGGGCGACTGGGTCTGGCTGAAGAAGTTCCCAGGAGAAGAGCAGAGTGAGGTGAAACCGGCCACCAAGTTAGCCTTCTGCAAGGTGAGGGGGCGTGGTGACCAGGGTGGGCCTGGGGGGACATCTCTGGGTCGTGAGGCACAATGTTGGGTCATGAGGGACAACGTAGGGTGATGAGGGTCAACGTTGGGTGTCTCGGGCCTGTCCCGGGGGGCTACCGGCTGTCAGGATGTTTCCGCGCCTTTCTCCCAAATGTGGAGAGCTTTATGAATGAGCCCAAGGGTCACACGTGGCCTTCTCCTCTCGAAGAAAGGGAAAGGGATTTAAAAGCACGATGGTCTATAAAAGGCACACTCCGAAGCAGAGGTGTACATCGATGGAGCGAAAGGGTAGGAGTTGAGCCCAGTAAGAAAGTGAGCATATTCGCGCAGCTGTTCTGAAACAGAGAAGGTGCTGGAGCTGACCCGTCCTGACCCTTGGTATTTTCTGCATCACTGGCAACTTTTACATGAGTGGTATCGTCTGCTTGCACAAGCAGCCTCAGTATTGCTGCTCTCAGTGCTCATTTTGATACCAATTCAATTAGTTTGAACCTGTTCATTAGCAATTGAGAGCGTGCTACGGGGGCTCCGAAAGACCCTCAATATCTCACTTCTGACACCCAAAATGTGGCGGGCCGGTACCGGGGGGCTACGGGCTGTCAGGATGTTCCCATGACTTCCCCCCACACACCCCCCAGTGTGGGGAGACTTATGAATGAGCACGAGGGTCACACGTGGCTTTCGCCTCTTACCGAGGAACGGCCGCTGCGGGACCGTTTCTTAGAGGGTAGACTAAAGTACCCTCCCATCACATATTCTGTTAGAGACAGTTTTTTACCTATTGTCTGTTTTTCTGCCAGTTATTTATCATAACCCTCGTGCTGCTTCCTTGCCTTCTGGTAGGGCAAGAGGCCCACTCATTCCGTCCTTGTCTGACTCGGAGAAAAGGCGTCACTCTTGCTTTGCTGCTTGAGAGGCATTTCTTTTGTTTAGTCTTATGTGGGGGGAAAGACGATGGATTGTTCCCCACGTTGGGTCATGAGGGCCAATGTTTGGTCATGAAGGACAACTTTGGGGTGTGGAGGACATTGTTGGGCCTAGAGGTTCAACACTGGGTTATAGGGGACATTAAAGGTTTTGGAGGACATCAGTGGGTCATGGGGGACATTGTTGGGCCATGGGAGACATTGTTGGTCTATGGAGACAACACTGGGCCTTGAGGGACAATGTTGGGTCTTGGGGGACATCAAAGCTTTGTGGAGGGCATTGTTGGATTTTGGGGGACAATATGGGACCATAGGAGGTCATGGGGGTCACCACTATGTCATGGTAGGACCAGAACAGGCCATGGTGGGGCAATGTTGGACCTCAGGATGCCATGGGGGTCACCACCAGGCCAGAGCAGGCCACAGGGGGCACCACTAGACCCTAAGAGGTCACCACGAGGCCTGAGAGAAAACTCTGGTCCCCACCTCCTGTGTCCTCTGTCCTGGGCAGCTCCGAGACCTTCGTCATGAGAACGTCAACCTCTTCCTGGGCTTCTTCCATGACTGTGGGATCTTTGCCATCGTCTCGGAGCACTGTGCCCGTGGGAGCCTGGAGGACCTTCTGAGGAACCAGGACATGAAGCTCGACTGGATGTTCAAGTCCTCCCTCCTGCTCGACCTCATCAAGGTGACTCCAAGGCGGGGGACGAGGTGGGGGAGGTGGGAGGAACGTGGTGGTTACGTCCGTTCTGGTGGTGGCCATGGTGGTGGTTGGTGGTCATGGTGGTGGTGGCCATGGTGATGGTCGTGGTGGTCATGGTGATGATACTGGTGATGGCCATGGTGGTGGTTGGTGGTCATGGTGGTGGTGGCCATGGTGATGGTCATGGTGGTAATGATGGTGGTGGTGACTGTGGTGATGGTGGTGGCCATGATGGTTATGTCCACGATGGCAGTGGCCATGGTCATGATGGCCATGGTGGTGGAGCACTGCTCCTGTGGGAGTCTGGAGAACCCCCTGAGGAAACAGAATGTGAAGCTCAACTGGATGTTCAAGTGCTCCCTCCTGCTTCACCTCACCAAGGTGACTCCAAGGAGGGGGGAAAAGGTGGGAGAGGTGGTGGCAACATGGTGGTCGTGGCCATTCTGGTGGTGGTCATGGTGCTGATCTTGGCCGTGGTGGTGGTGGCCATGCTGCTGTTGTCCATGCTGGTGGTGGCCACGGCGCTGGTGTTGTCAATGGTGTTGTCCATCCTGGTGGTGGCTATCTTGCTGGTGGCCATGTTGGTACTGGCCATGCTGGTGGCCAATGCTGGTGGTGGCCATGGTGTTGTCTGTGTTGGTGGTGGCCACGGTGCTGGTGTTGTCCATGGTGTTGTCCATGCTGGTGGTGCCCACCTTGGTGTTGGCCATGCTGGTGTTTGTTGTCCATGGTGTTGGCCATCCTGGTGTTGCCCATGCTGGTGTTTGTTGTCCATGGTGTTGGCCATCCTGGTGTTGCCCATGCTGGTGTTTGTTGTCCATGGTGTTGGCCATCCTGGTGTTGGCCATGCTGGTGTTTGTTGTCCATGGTGTTGGCCATCCTGGTGTTGCCCATGCTGGTGTTTGTTGTCCATGGTGTTGGCCATCCTGGTGTTGCCCATGCTGGTGGACCATGTTGGTGGTGCCCATGGTGTTGGCCATCCTGGTGTTGTCCATGATGTTGTCCATGCTGCTGGTTGCCCTGGTGTTGTCCATCCCACCACTCCTCTCCACCCCTCCAGCGGTGCCCACGCTGGTGCCCACCCCCACTGACCCCCCCACC